CCATCCATAACTCCAGTTCCAGGAGATCTGATGCCCTCTTCTGACCTCCATGGGCATTGCATGATATGGGTGCACTAACATACATGCAGGCAATACACTGATATACAAAAAATAAAAAAATAATAATAAAAGCCAGGTGTGGTGATGCACACGTTTAACCCCAGCACTTGGGAGGCAGAGGCAAGTAGACCTCTGTGAGTTTGAGGCCAGCCTGGTCTACATAGAGAATTCCAGGCCAGGTGGGGCTAGAGGGAGACCCTGTTTCTAAAAAGTCCAAAATAATAATGATAATATAATATTAGGGAAGAGGGTTGTAGTCCCTAATAACCTCATATAGAAGCTCCATTGACTACACAAAGAAATTAGAGGTTGTGGTGATATCAAAAGACTAGACTATAAACATGTGCAAGAGACATAAATGGCAATAATTGTCATTCTTACAAAATGTCTGGGGCGGCACCTTTCAGCTATGGCACGATGAAAAGGACAAAAATACTAATGCGTAGGTAAACCTGAAGACACTGGTCCCGCTGGCACCCACCTTTCATTCATAGTTCAGCCCTTAGCAGGTACCTCTGCAGGTCCATTAGGCCTCACAGGGAGAGCAAAGCCACTGTGTGACAAGACTCGGGGCTCTTCTATCTGGAAATGGACTTCATATTCAGAGAACATCCCAACCCTGCCTAACTTTCCAGCTCACAGAGGCAGTGCAGGCAAAAGCTGTGTTTCTACAGGGTGTGGAGTTTAAGCTCAAACAAACTGTAGGTGCACAGGTCGGAAGATGAGTTAAAATGACAGTTCCTTTGTTTTTCTCTTCCAATCAAAAGAATCAAGTCCAGTTTCCCTTATGAATATTCCCTTATGGATATAATTACCCACTAGTGTGTGAGCCAATCTCAGAAGCCCTCGGCGTTCTGCTCTGGTGCCTCTCAGCACTGCTGGGCAGTACCCCCTGTCCCCAGTTAGGCTTTGTGCTGTGTGACATCACCTGCCCTCCTCCAGTCTGTGTCTAGTCCAACAGGGACCTTCCTTCAAGCCTCATACCAACATCCACTTCCTGTTCTGTGTGCCCCCCCCCCCATATCTGATGGGAGTTCTGGATCAGATTCCTGGATTTTCATGCATTAACAAGCACCCCCCAACTCCTTGCCTGAGAAGCCAGAACACTGTGTCTTCCCGGATATGTCCACATCCGACCAGCTCAGGAAGCACGACGTTTAGTCTGGCATGAGAAATCCAGTTTCTTGCTCATGGTCATAAAGACATCAGCTTGAAATATTCAATAAATACGAATCTTCTAGAGCATGCTTATGCACCCCACCAATAAACTCTCAGATTAAAAAACACTGCTGGATCATGCAAAGCTGTGGGAAGAAAACAAAGCCCTACTCTCTCAAGCCTCTTCAGGCTAACGTAGTAAAGTATGTTGAGCTGGCCCAAGCGTTCTAACAAGTGCCCTGTGCTATGGCATGGTGTTCGGAAGATGTAAGAGGTGGATCTGAGACGCTTTCTGTTCAGGACTTTGGGCTTTGTGCTGTGTGCCCACCCCCTCCCTCCTCCAGCCTGGGCCCATTCCAACAGGGACCTTCCTTCAAGCCTCATACCAACATCCACTTCCTGTTCTGTGTGCCCCCCCCCCCATATCTGATGGGAGTTCTGGATCAGATTCCTGGATTTTCATGCATTAACAAGCACCCCCCAACTCCTTGCCTGAGAAGCCAGAACACTGTGTCTTCCCGGATATGTCCACATCCGACCAGCTCAGGAAGCACGACGTTTAGTCTGGCATGAGAAATCCAGTTTCTTGCTCATGGTCATAAAGACATCAGCTTGAAATATTCAATAAATACGAATCTTCTAGAGCATGCTTATGCACCCCACCAATAAACTCTCAGATTAAAAAACACTGCTGGATCATGCAAAGCTGTGGGAAGAAAACAAAGCCCTACTCTCTCAAGCCTCTTCAGGCTAACGTAGTAAAGTATGTTGAGCTGGCCCAAGCGTTCTAACAAGTGCCCTGTGCTATGGCATGGTGTTCGGAAGATGTAAGAGGTAGATCTGAGACGCTTTCTGTTCAGGACTCCACGGTTCATCAATGGGCAGCCTTGTGGACATGTTTCTATGTGGACAAGACTCTCTCTGGTTGGATCAGTGTTCCCTACCACTTCAGTTGCATGTAGACAGAGACAACCATGCCCTCATCCAGGAGCCCCCCGCTTCAGGCCAGGCACAGCACCTGGGTACTCTTGCTGCCTATGCTGTTAGTACCTCTGCTATGCTGGCACTTCCCTTCTCTCTTTTATCCTCCTAGAATAAGAGATTCTGGGAGGCTGGGTCATCCTTAGAGCGAAGGACTATGGTTTTCATTCCTCAATTCCTGGAGTCCTAGAACAGCACAGTGCCGAGGTTTTCACGTCCTCTGTAAAGCTCCATCGACCCAATCAGTGAAATGTTCTTGAGCGTGACTGAGCATTGCCTTAACGTCGTGCTGGAAGCCAGGCCCGAGGAAGGCGACGTGTAGCTGCTATTGAAAGGGGAAATTTTGTTCAAGCCAGAAGAACTGAATCTGATCTTTTAAAAAAATGCCCATTAGTTCATCCTGATAATTAGAATATGTGTGTCTTTCATAAAGACGGAGGAAGTGGAGTCTTCAGCCTGTTAGCCTCCAGGGACAAAGACAATTATGTAAGAGAAATCTTGACGCTGTGCATGGCCGACAGAAGCTGAGGTAGGAGCCCAGGCGTGTGCTTCAAGATGAAGCAGTCCCCAAAGAAGCTGGGTTAGAACCTTCTATCAAAAAATGAGGCCTTAGCAGGGCATCTTTAATTCAGCACTCAGGAGGCAGAGGCAGGCGGGTATCTATGAGTTGTCTACATAGTGAGTTCCAGGACAGCTGGGGCTACAGGGAGACCTTGTCTCAAAAAGACCAAAACCAATTAAGCAAACAAATACCACCTCCCCCCCAAAAAAACCCTCCAAAGAAACAAACAAAAAACAAGGAATCAAAAAAAAAAAAAAAAAAAGTCTTTGTCCCTTGGTTTACGATCTGCAGACTTCATGTGAGAATGCGCAGTGACTCCCCACAGGCCTTACCCAACTCACACCTCACTGGTAGTTTTTAAAGGTTTAGTTGTATTTTCACTTATGTGTATATGTCCGTATAAGTGTATGCTGCGTGTATACGGGTAGCCACAGAGGCTGGAGGCCAGACTCCTGATCCTCTGGAGCTGGAGTTACAGGTGGTTGTGTGTCGCCTCATGTGCGTGTGAAGAACCGCGCTGGGGCTGTCTGGAAGAGCAGCAATTGCTCCTGACCACTGGGCCACCCCTCCAGCCCCACCTTGGTATTGTTTTTCCTACTTAAAGATAGAAATAGAAGGAGATTGTTTGAGAAAAGAAGGGGTCACTGAGCATGGGACAAAAGAGGGTAGTATGTGAATATGATCAAAGTACATTATATACATGTGTGAAAGTTTCATCATGAAGCCAATTATGTAGACTTAATAGAACCCTGAACAACTCCTTATTGGAGTGAACAGCAGGTTGGCAGACAAGCAGGGTGTCCTTCCTCTGGCCAGCCTTCCTCCAGTGAGGCAGTCCACTTCTGCCACGTTCCTCACTCAAGAGCTTGAAGGTTGCTTTCCGTTTCTGCCTCTCAAAGCGCCCTCCATCAGTCACACAGTGGTCAGAAGGCTGATCTGGAACTTACATCCTCCTGCCTCAGCCTCCACAGTGCTGGGATTACAGGCGTGAGGCACCACACCCACCTTACTGGCATATTAATCTTGCCCAGATTAGTAAAGTAGCATCTGATTCTTCTTACCAAACTCACCTAACAGCACTGCTCGTTTTCCTGAAATGTGTCCGCAAGTCATGTCACAGCCACGCTCCGGAGTCCAGCCACCTCCTCGTCGCCCCTGAGTCTTGGGTCTTCTCCCTGTCTCCTCTGCTCTGTTTTGTTCATCCTACTGCGGGGCTGTATGTGCCCTTTGGAGCGTGTGCTGTGCTGTCTCACCTCTGGGCTGTTCCTGTAGCTGCAGGGGCTTCCCCAGGCCCCTGCTTCCCTGGCTCGGTGTTTCTCCTTCTGCAAACATGGGGTGGGGTGTCTCAGCAGCACCTGCTTTATGGGGTTTTGGAGGAATGGGAGGAAGGACACAGGAGCCCTTGGGAAAGACCTGGGGTGCTGTTTGTAACCATTATTCTTATCTCTTCCCAGGACCACTTCGAATACACTTCTTGAGTGAAACCTTCTGTATCTCCAAATTTGCTTTACTCTCTTCCATCTTTCCCCTTCTCCAATGGCTGTGGGGTATAATGCTCTGCCTTAGAAGAGTGTGTGAATGCACTAATCAAAATAGATTACATTTTATTTATTATTATTTATGCTCTAAAGAATCTTGCATACTACCTGGAGAACAAGAGGACTTATTAAATACTGGATAGATTGAAATAAATTACTCTACTCTTTTAAATCTGTGTTCCGGCTGTGTGTGGTGGCGCATGCCTTTAATCCCAGCACTCAGGAGGCAGACAGAGACAGGCAGATCTCTGTGAGTTCAAGGCCAGCCTGGTCTACATAGTGAGTTTCAGGTCAGCTGGGGCTACAGGGAAAACCTTCTCAAAAAGACAGAAAAAAAAAAACAAAACTGTGTTCCATGGGGAGATGGCTCAGCAATTGAAAGAGTGTACTATTCTTGCAAAGGACCTGATATCAGGCAGCTCATAACCACCTGTAATTCCAACTCTAGGAGATCTGACCCCCTCTTCCGGCCTCCTTTGGCACCCATATTTAACATGCATATACATACACAGACACACATACATAATTAATAATAAAAATAAACCTTTAAATCTGTGTTCTACAAGTTGAGAAAGCCCACAACACATACGTAAAATGAAAGTCCTGATAACACAGATGTGACTGGTAAGAGGCCCTGAGTGTGGTGTCGCTGGAGTCCCAACGTGCCCCAGTAATGTTCTTTGCACTGTTCCCTGCTGCAGGTCTGCGTAGTCGCCTACCTGGGACTGTTTATGCTTTGTGTCTCCTATCAAGTTGATGAGAGAACATGCGTCCAGTTTTCTATGAAAGTAAGTTGTTTGTCTTTTCAAAGACTTGTTGCACAGAAAGAAAGACAAGTACAAAATGAGAGTTCTTTTCAAGGCGCTGCATATCTGATGGGTCTAGAAATTGAATTTTCAGACAGGCCAACAAATGTTTTAGGAGGGCATTCGTCCAGACCCCAAGGCAATGCTAGCCCTTTTTAAGTCTTAATTTCCATGAGCTGGGTTGGCCTAGAGCATATGAATTGTGCCCTATAATGCCCATAAAAGGAATGTCGAACAATTATCAGTTCAACAAAACACTTGGCCAGGGAAAGGTGTCTCTCAGTGCCTGCCTTCGTATTTGGGGTTATTTGGAATATTTCAATAATGAAACAATCTAGGCATATTTCCCCTTGTAGGTGGGAGCACTGACACAGAGAAGGCACATTGCATGCATCCAGGGGGCCTTGCCAATAGTCTGTGGGAAGTGACTGGGTTCTGCATGGCTTGGCAAGTATGTGTGTCTTTCATTTGTATGAATTTATAAAAAGCAACATGTTCGCATACTTTAATAAATCACACTGGGGCTGGAGAGATGGCTCAGCGGTTAAGAGCATTGGCTGCTCTTGTAGAGGACCCAGCACCCACTTGGCAGCTAACAATCATCTGTAACTCCAGTTCCAGGGGATCCATTTTCCCAACACTGACCTCTGCAGGCATTGTACAGCACAGGTGCACTTATATACCTGCAGGCAATACCTCATACACATAAATTTTTTTCCTAAAAATCATGCTATAGCCGGACGTGGTGGCGCATGCCTGTAGTCCCAGCACTTGGGAGGCAGAGGCAGGCGGATCTCTGTGAGTTCAAGGCCAGCCTGGTCTACATAGTGAGTTCCAGGACAGCTGGGGCTACAGGGAGACCCTGTTTCAAACAAACAAACTAACAAACAAACAAGCTGCAATGAGGAAAAAAAAAAAATCATGCTATAGAAAATAAGTTAATGGAGTAAAATAGTTCAGATTACATTGATTTTTTTAAAAAGAGCTGGTCACAGCCTTGTGTGGTGACTCACATCTGTGATGCCGGCGCCCAAAAAGCTGGGACAGGAGAATCTCCACAGGTTCCAGGCCAGCATGGGCTACAGGGTGAGACCTTGTTTTAAAACAAACAAGCAAACAAACAAACAAAAAAAAGAGAAACAAAGAAACAACCATGAATAAACAATAACAAAAAGCTCGCTGTACTGAACGTGTGGCATAATTCCACAGGATGACAATGTGTTACCGCACATAGGAAACTACCTGAGTGGTGGACTTAGAGCATACGTTTGCAGTGTTTTCTATAGGTCTGAGATATTTTCCTACACTCAGACACAACTTCTCTAATTAATGAAGTAATGCTATTTTTACTTGCTAAGAACTGGAATTTGGGTGCATATGCAACCATTTGGGAAATTCACTTTTTTGGTCCAAGGACTTGATTTAACAAGAAAACCAAAGAGAGCAGTTGTGAGTTCATGCTTTTTTCTTTTCTTTTCTCTCTCTTTCTTCCTTTTTCTTTCTTTCTTTTTTTTCCCCCCCTGAGTTTGCCTAAATGACAAGGCTTGGTGGTAAGAATAGGAAAAAGAAAGTTGAAAACCTGGTAGGAAATACCTGCTAAATTTGCAGGAGATTGATGTAAACACACCCTAACTTAGATTTCCATCTGTTTAGGTCAAGCATGCTCACTTCCTCTTTCCCCACTTCCTCCTTCACATCCATATCTCAGGAAACAGCAGGGGCAAAGCCTCCCTTCCAGAGACCTCCCCCCGCCAGGCACCTCAACTTGCACCTTAAAAACAAGACAAGTGGGAAAGGAAAAAAAAGTGACGCCCAGTGTCAGGCAGCACAGAGCCTCCCCAGGACCTCATTAGCTCTCGCTCTCCTTCACCCATGACAAACACTGACAGACACCGAGGCACTTTTTCTTCCCCTGAGGTGACCTCAGCAAGGCGGCTGCCAGCTACAATGCCCTCTATGGCCTCTTCAGTCCAAGGAAGGCTTCAGCTGGGCTCCAGAAGGGCACAGCCGGTGTCCCCCGCGCTCCCACCGCCTTTCAGGAAGAATGACAAGGGGTTCACAAGCTTGTCACCTGCACAGCTGCATTTTAGCGTCTCCCCACCCATAGGCACAATGGCCTCAGCTTTTTAATGAGAATTTATTTTCTCTTACTGAGCACCCAGATAGCTAGGGCAAGCCATCAGTCTATGATGACAGCCGTCTTGTACACGCACACACACACACACACACACACACACCATGCACACAAAGGCATACACACAGAGTCATACACACTCATATACACACTCACACACACAGAGGCGTACACACATGGCAGATATACACACAGAGACTTACACACACACGATGATTGTCTTATAGACTGTATAGGCACACACAGGCATATATATACACACCGAGAAACACACACTCCATGATTGTCCTGCACATACACACACAGACACACACAAACATACACAACCAAGCATATACATATAGAGACATATACACACATGACGATTATCTTGCATATACATACTATATATATATACACAAAAAACACACAAAGCATACACACGCACATATAGGCACTCACACAGACATACACACACACAAGGCATACACACAGGTATACATACACAGACACAGGCACACCCAGTTTGTTCTTAGGGTAGGCCCTGGAGACTACCAACAGTTCCCTGCTTTCTCCCTGGCCTCTGTCTTAGCCTAGACGGTTGCTGCAACCCTGCCCCCATCCTTTGGGGTGGCCCCGCCTTCTTGGGCTCTCTTGCATTGGCTGAAATGTGTCAGGGTCATGTGCCTGTGGACACCTTGCAGGCACATCCCTTGCAGCTTGCTAGCAACACAAGTGCCTTACTATTCAGACCGCAGGAGGGAGATCATTAAATCCAAACAGGCCCCCGCCCCCAAATCCTCTGACTGGGAAAGTCACAGCCAGATTCCAATTAGAGCAGGGCCGGGTGCAAGCAGCAGCCAGATTGGATATGCGTGGGACCTCCTGGGGATGCTCTGCGCTTACTCCTGTGAACTCTGGCCCCCTGAGCTGAGATCCTCAAAGTCACCACACATGCCTTCATTGATAGTTTATTCCTGCCGTGAAGGCGAAACAAGACACTTGATTTTAAATTATGGATTCTAACACAGGAGCGTGTTGCCGTCAGACAGCTTTAAAACCACGAAGGGAGGTGCTGTGCTATGGCAGATGTAGCCCAAAGGTGCAGGACCTGGTGTGTCACTGTGACTTAGGATGCATCTGACTGAGTGTCACTAGCTGGAGTCGTGCACTCAGGTCAGTTTGATGTGTGGGGGCTGAGAGGAGCCATTTCTCCTCTGTCTTCGGTATGCCGACTTCTAGCATGTTTAAGGAGCAAGGTCGAACCCCAGCAGTCACTGTGTCTGTGTAGGTGTCTCCATCTCAAGCAGAGTCTGGGTTGTCCCTCCCACATGAGAGGAAACCAGACAGACAGCAGAGTTCTTTCTCGAGGGTTCCTGGAAACAGATGCTTTCTCCTGAGCCGGGTCAGCTCACAAATAACCAACTAGGGCTCCCGTGTGCCCAGCCCTTTGTGGATACCAACTCTTGACCCTGGTAATGATCCTATGAAGTCATCACCCCAGATTTATGGGTAAAGAAACACTGGTTAGAGCTGGAGAGAAGGCCCAGTGGCTAAGAGCACTGACCGCTCTTGCAGAGGACTGGGGTTTGATTCCCAGCACCCAATGACAATAATCACCTGGAACTCCAGTTCCAGGGGATCCAATGCACTCTTCTGGCCCCCTAGCACTGCATGACACAGGTGCACTTGCATACATGTAGACAATACACTCATACAAATAATATAAAATAAAAATATTTTTTAAAATTTAAAATCATATTTTGTCTGCATGCATGTTTGTGTATGTGTGTTACTGCGTATGTGTGTGGGGGTGAGAGAACATCTTGTGGAAGTCTATTCTCTCTTTCAACCATGTGAATCTGGAGATTGAACTTAGGTCACCAGGCTTGGAGACAGGTGCCTTTATCTGCTGAGCCACTCAGCCAGTCCCCAACTAACTTCCTTCCTTCCTTCCTTCCTTCCTTCCTTCCTTCCTTCCTTCCTTCCTACCTACCAGGTTGGTCTTCATCTCACAGAGATCCACCTGCTTCTGTCTCTGAGTGCTGGGATTAAAAACTAGCATCACCATGTCCGGCTTTTAAAAAAAAAAAATCAGGTTCTCATCATCTCAAGCTGGTCTCCAACTTGCTAGGTGGCCCAGGATGATGTGCCACCACACCCAGCTACAGCCCTATTTTTTTAATTTAATTTTTTAATTAATTTATTTTTATTTTATGTATATGAGTGTATTACCTGCATCTGTGTAAGTGAACCTATGTCATGCAGTGCCCACAGAGGACAGAAGAGGTCATCAGATCCCTAGAACTGGAGTTATAGACAGTTGTTAGCTGCCATGTGGGTGCTGGGTTTCGAACCCAGGTCTGCTATAAGAACAATCAGTGCTCTTAATTGCTGAGCCATCCCTTCAGGCCCAGCCCTCTTTTAAAAATAAACAAAATACTCATTATTAATAAATAGACTCCTTCCCCCGTGTTTTATAGATAGCTACTGTTTAAGGACATGTATGCATACATATGTATTTGAGCACATGTGTGCAATGGCAGGATACGTTGAGGATGGGAGCATAGAAACACAGTTACAAGATATATTTGTTAATACCCAAAAAAAAAAAGTGAAGAAAATGCCACTTGGGGCCATCCTAAGCAGGTGACTGTTCAGAGTGAGATGAGCATCGTGATGTGGGTCCTTCCTGCTGGTGGTCACGATGTTCCAAAGTTCCCAGAGCAAATAGTTCCCAGCTCTCTGCTGCACTGGAAATACAGCTTCCATGAGCACGCGCGCGCACACACACACACACACACACACACACACACTCACATACGTAAGCACAACCAGCCCAAACTAGCTCTCAGCACCAAGAGTTTAAATTTACTCACCAAAATAAATAAATAAATACATAAATTCAATCACCAAGCTTGAATATTTTAGAACAATCCAGAATATTTCAAATATTCAATCCCATTAGCCTCATGCAGTAAGGTCATATTTTAAAGTCTAAACACTCCTTTTTTTGCATAAACTATAGTCACTGAATGTTCTGAGGGGCAGGAGCAACACACTGCTTTCAATACCACAAACTAAAAAACCCCTTCGTAAGTTATATAATGCCACTTTGTACTAATCTGGTTCCTTCCCTTCAAGGAACCCTAAACATGTCAAAGACAAATGATCTTTGTTGTGTTTCTAAGATACGAGATGTTTCGGCTGGGTGTGATGGGACCTGCCTGAAATCCCAACACTTCACAAGTGGAGGCAGGAATCCAAAGGCCACCCTTGGCCGCTCACCATAACTCCTCCTTATAAGGAACAACGTTTGGTCATACGGCAACATAAATCTTCCCCTACAAACTGTGGCCACTGCTTCCCAAGTCTGTGGAACCGACCTTCACCTCAACAGGTGTGAATCTGGTCACACAAACATTTCTTGTACTATACAACAGTTTCATTATAGTTCAGTCAATACCCACAACGTTGGGTCACAATATTCCAGATGTTTCAGTAAGCTAAATCAGTGAATTCTGTAGACATCCCACAGTTCCTTCTGAGTCAGAAATTTAACCAGCTGTTTCCAATCCAGAGCTAACATGTAGGCGGGGTCACCAACTTCCAAGGCCATCATTTATTTTTTTCTCCCAGCAGCCTCTTGCTTGAGGCTCCTGACATTTATGAGTGAAGTGTTTGCGGCTGAACCTGTGTTATTAGTTGAACAACTAATGATCATTTTGACCAACACGGCGTTTGCTTTATGGAAACGTGTTCTTTCCAGTCTTGTTTCCATTTCTGATCATCCATTCTTGATTAAAAAATAAGCATAATGTATCGTCCAGGATAGATTTGGCATTCACTTAAACCACTTATTGTATATACACATAAGTATCCCACAATCAGGCAGTCTGTACAATCCATGACAGGAGACAATGTCTGTATGGCAAACCGTTTAAGGTGGGCACACACCTATAATTCCAGCACTTGAGTGTTGGAGGAAGGAGGGTCAGGAATTCAAAGTCATCCTCAGCTACATATCAAATTTGAGATCAGCCTGGGCTACATGAGACCCTGTCCCAGAAATCAGTCAGCCCATTCATCAGTTAGCCAATCAATCGACATGAAGTAATATCCATGTTTTGGGCACTATGTTTTGGGAAGAGATGGCCCTTCCATCAGAGGGTTTGTTGAGAGAGAAAGAGGAGTGTTTATTAATTAGCTTTGCATCTGGCTGTTTCTTTGTAACTGAAAGGCTTTCTTCTCTCTTGTAGCTGTCCTATTTCCTGCTGAGTGCCCTCAGCCTGATGGTCTGTGTGCTGGCCGTGGCCTTCGCTGCTCATCACTATTCGCTGCTCGAACAGTTTACCTGCGAGACCTCGCTTGACTCCTGCCGGTGCAAACTGCCCTCCTCAGAGCCGCTCAGCAGGACCTTTGTTTACAGGGATGTGACCGACTGTAGCAGCGTCACTGGGACATTCAAACTGTTCTTAATCATCCAGATGGTGCTAAACTTGGTCTGCGGCCTTGTGTGTTTGCTGGCCTGTTTTGTGATGTGGAAACACAGGTACCAGGTCTTTTATGTGGGTGTCAGGCTGTGCTCCCTAATGACTTCTGAAGGTCAGCAGCAAAGGGTCTGACAGCCTTGCTCAGAGGTGAGAGACGGCACACCAACTAGCTGAAGTGAAAAACACACAACTTTTTTTAAAAAGGCAAACTTTGGACAACAAATGCTTATTCATTCTCTAAATGAGTATTTTTATATTTTTGAGAAAAGAAAAGAACATTTCTTTGAGTCTCTATTTTATTTTTTAATTCTTGGGAGGATGGGGCTAGATCAATAGCTAAGCAGTTAAGAGCACACACTCCACATAGAGGACTCGGGTTCTAGCACCCACATCGGGAAACTCACAACCTTCTGTGACACCAGCTCCAGGGGACTCAAATGCCCACACACAGATAGATACACATATACATAATTTTAAAAATATACTTTAAATTTTTAAAAAAGGACCGGGTGTGGTGGCGCACACCTTTAATTCCAAATCTTGTGAGAAACAGGATCCAAGTTGATATAAGGACATTAAGACTGAAAAGAACTCCAAGCGGAAAGAATGACGAGGTCTGTCACTGAAGCCTGGAGCTTATTCCCATCTCTCATTTTACCCATGATATACCCAGCTTGCTCTCCTGTCTGTCCAGTGTGGTGCTCTGAACTGGCTGCAGGCCCTCCTTCTAGACTCTGTGGACCGCCAGCCCCTCCCATTTCCCACCGTTACCACAGGCATCTGGGAGAAAGACGTCGCAGAAACGCTGGATCTCTGTTGAATGTTTTTACTTTCCCCAGTAGAGGTGTCTTCAAGGCATGAAATAGCTTTAAAAATCATAGTGGAAAGGGAACCAAACACCTGGCTGGTGCAGCCCTCTAGTTGCCTCGGCCCGGCTCCCCAACTGGGCCCTGTGCGGCAGCCAGAATGATTGTCTGCTTGGCCGTCATTGAAAGGCAGTGCGACAGAATTCCTAATGATGGAGCAGGTTTAAAAATAATTACATTATGCTTCTATTCTATCATCTAAAACAAATCATTAAGACTAATTTCCACCTAATTGTTCATTATAATTATGCTCAGAAGTCTACTTAATGAGCTATGGTTATACTGAGACAGTGCTGTTGGTGTTAAGAAAAATTACGCTCACAAGAGGAGACACGTAAAGATCCACATTCCTGGAAGCCAAGCCTTACCAAAAAAAATTTTAATTAATACTCAGTTTTAAAACACTTTTAAAAGGAAAAACAAGGGGCTGGAGAGATGGCTCAGTGGTTAAGAGCACTGGCTGCTCTTGCAGAGGACCCAGGTTCAGTTCTCAGCCAGCAACTGTCCTGTAACTCTAGTTCCAGGGGAGCCAATGCCCTCTCCTGACCTCCGCTGATATTGCATGACACGGGTGCACTTACACACATGCAGGCAATGCACTCATACACATGAAATTCAAATAAGTTTTTAAAAGGGAAAAACAAGAGCATTTGTCAGAGGCAATGTTATACTAATAGCACATTGTGGCCTGTTGAAAGGGATCGTCCTCGACAGCTAAGCACCTTTGAGGGGGTCTGGGTTCTGTGGCAAGTTCTGTCAGACTTGGATTTGAGGTGCCATCTTGTTACTGATGTGTATGCACAGTTGACGTAGAGACTCAGAATGTCTTGAAGTCCTTATTTGGACAATATGTCTATGGACTTAGAGGGGAGTTTTTAGTTTTGTTTTATCTGTAACCAACTAGGATTTAAGACACAAGTACCTTGGTATGGTGGGTTTTGTTGTTACTGTTATTACCAAATTCATAAGAGTATCTAAATGTTTTAAGAAAGGAGCTCAAAATGGAATTTCTCTCTTAGTAGGTGTGCTTAAAAGCTGAAGATCAAGATAACAGTTCAGCCCAGTGTGCTGTCCAAGTTGACTGTCCATGTACTTTCCCAATCACAAAATTCTTCCCAGAGGAAAGCATACTCTTGTTTGCCCCTGAAGCTGGATGGAGGGTCTATCAGTGGTGATAATGGTACTATTTCTTCGTGATACAAATACCCAAATTAAAAGGAAAATGTTCGGACAGTAAGCTCGAGGATTATAACTGTCTGTTATGTCCTCCAGAAAAAAACATCCAATTAACAGATGTTAAAACCTTCTGTGTTCTGACTTGCTTTAAATTTGGCCTTCCTGCCTGTTAGCTCAGGTGAGAAGGCCCATAAGGGAGTTTAGTGGATAAAACCCCATAGCAGGACTGATCACAGGCAAAAGTTGCATGGACATAACACCAGGCCTCTTGACACCCCGAAAACTCCTTTGTGATTGTTGAGACTAACCAGCTCGGGCTGGAGAGATAGCTTAGTGGCAAAGTGCTTACCACACAAGCATGAGTTCAACCCCTAGAACCCACCTAAAGAAGCCAGGTATGGTGACATGTGTTTGGAATCTCAGCATTGAGAGAAGAAGGAGATGAAGATGGCCAATCCCTGAAGCTTCTGGGAAGCCAGATTTAACCTCCTCAGTGAGCTCCAGGACTTGGTAATACGAGACCTCTGTCTCAAAGAGAAAAACCAAGGCAGGCACAGTGGCACACCTTTAATCCCAGAACTCAGGAGGCAGAGGCAGGTAGATCTCTGTGAGATCGAGGCCAGCCTGGTCTACATAGTGGGTTCCAGGATAGCTGGGGCTACAGGGAGACCCTGTATCAAACAAACAAACCAAAACAACAAAGCAGCCCCAAAAAGAAAGAAAAGTGAATGAGTCCTAATGAACAACAGGTTGACCTCTGGCCCAGCCATGCATGCACACACACACACACACACACACACACATGCACACACACATGCATACACATACAGATGCACATGTATGAACATGTACACACAAAGAATAACCAAATTCACAATGACTTGTGATAGTTTTCTACAGAAAGAAGATAGAGAATCTGGATGCTGTAGACTGTCCTTTTAAAAGGAAGGTTATTGTACCATTAGCCACTACTCTGCGTCAGGTACCCCAGATGTATACCTGAAGACCTATCACAACTTTTTATAGCAAACTCTACGGATTTTTATATGAAGAATTAAGATTCTCCACATCCTTACGGTGCTCTCCACTTTACAAATGATTCACAGGGTCTTTGAAAAACTAGAATAGCTTCAGCCTGTAGGTTTTTTTTCCTAAATAACGCAAGCACACAAGAGTTGACATGGAACTAAACTTAAAATATTGTGTCTTTATGCCACGGGGATTTTACTATTATGTGATTAAATTATTCTTAAATCCCCAAAGAGAGAAAACACTGTAAGTGAACAGAAGGAACGCAGCAAAATAAAAGCATGCTTTGCTACGAGCTCACTGTGTATTGATACGTGTAAGAATTGTGCTGCATGAATAACGAACTGCTTCGGGCTGGATTTGAAGTATTTTGATGTTATGTTTTGCAAATATTGACGTTGCAGTAGGGGCAACAGAAAAAGAGCAGACACACAGCTTCCCACTTAGCAGAATGTTACACTGAAAATCTGACAAGGAGCCAGGATGGCGACTGTGTCCTAAACCGTATGAAACAGCAGGGTTTGTGCGGTCCTCCTCCCCAGCTCCTACAGGAGAATTAAAGGAATCCAGACTGGAAAGAAGAGAAGCAGCCGGGACTTGGCAGTACTTGAAATAGGAGGACTACAGCAGGCTGGATGTACAGACTGTAAGGAGCCCACGCAACAGGTTCCGTGCCTTCACGTGACCGACATCTGTGCCTCCCACGCTCTGTCCAAATCGGTGTAGGCAGCACCTTGGAGCCATGCCTGAAACATAGCTACTGCAAAGCCCAGACACTGTAGTCAAGCAACAATCCGCACGGTTTTTTGGTTTGAGAGCTTACATATTCTCTTCTGGGGGCCTTCCAGAGTGGTCTGGTAGCGGGATTCCATGCTATATATATTTTCTGTTTGTAGCCAAGACATGATGATCTTTAAATAGTCTTGTTCTTGCTGTCTTATGTGCAGAATATCTGGAATATGTGTATGAAATTGTAGTAAAGATTGTCCAAAGGATATTTGGGAGGACGACTGTGGAATGGTTACTGAAAGACAAATCAAATAAACTTAAAAGCTGCCCTGCCAAACGAGTCATCTGCAAACATGAAATGTACCTGGATGTTTTCTAGTGATTTTCTGTGAACTGTTGGTACATGGCTATACATTTTGTAAATATGCTGTCAGGCTTTGCTCTGGCACAAAAGCTTCTTACTGTGGTTTTAAATGCACACTGTAAGTTCAGAATAGCCGATGGCCATGCATGCCAACTCAGGGTGCAGGGCTTAGTGGTTTAGTCACCGGAATGAATACCTTGATTTATTTCTTTTAATATTCTAGTCTTTTGCTTTCTCAAATGATCATTATCCCTTTCAAAGTCATCGATCTGTTGCAGTTTAGTCCTCCTGACCTTGAACGAATCAGAAGAGGAAGTCGTTTCTATACATTTGAAGTGGTTGATTTTAAGGGGGAGTTGTGTAATGCATATTTTCTTTATTAATAAACTTCATAACCCTTGAAGAAATGTTGTTGAAGTATGCTTCAAAGTGACTGTAAGGAGCTGGACAGATGGCTCAGCAGTTAAGAGCACTTGCTGCTCTTGCCGAGGAGTCCCAGCACCCACATGACAGCTAACAATAGTAACTCCAGTTCCAGGGGATCTGACACCCTCTTCTGGCCTATGTGGGCACAAGACATGCATGTGGTATACATACATGTACGTGAACACTCATACACATAAATATGAATCTACCTTTAAGTGACTGGTGCACGTGAACTGGTGTATGTAAAATCTGTCAGGTTCGTGTTTACTTCAAAGGCCTGGCTTAGGAGCCGGAGATCATCATGTTAAGTGAAGTAAGCCAGACTCAGAAAGACAGTGTTTTCTTTCATATGTGAAACCTAGAGTTAAAATTGGTGTGTGTGGTGTGTGTGTGTGTGTGTGTGTGAGAGAGATGAAACTAAGAAAAGGAAAGAGGATCATAGAGGAGATGAGGTGGGGGTGGAGGGCAACAAAATCCATGTGACCTGGAAGCAGGGGCCATAGAGGACAGGGTGGTGGGGGGAAGAGGACAGAGGCGGGATAGAGGGGGGGACACAGGGGGGAACGGGGGACAGAGGAGGACAGAGGGGGGACAGAGAGATGGGGTCAAAGAGATGGGGGAGAGGGGGACAGAGAGACGGGGACAGAGAGCCAGGGACAGAGGGGGGGACAGAGGGGGAGGGGTACAGGGGCTAGTGGTAGTGGGGAAGGAGATGAGTAAGAACAGAATATATAGATGAAAATTCCAAGATGAAATCATTGTTTGTGTGCTAACTTAAAGAATTAATTTTAAAAAAAGTTAGGGGCTGGAGAGATGGCTGAGAAGTTAAGAGCACTGACTGCTCTTGCAGAGGACCTGGGTTCAATTTCCAGTACTCACATGGTGGTTAAGAACCGTCCTTAGCTCCAGTTCCAGGGGACACCCTCTTCTGACCTCTGCAGCATTGCACGACACAGGTGCACTCACACACATGCAGGCAATACACTCATACACATAAAATAAAAATAATAAATAAAATATTTTTTAAAAGAATTAATAAAAAAAACTTTAAAGGAATGGAAAAAAAAAAAACCCTGGCTTGGTAACAGACAAGAACCAATGTCAGTATGACTCCCTTTTCCCAGGTTATAATTTGTCCCCAGGCAGAGAGTGAGTTGAGAAAATCTTTGGAGAAGTATTTGGAATGCTGTCTTAATTTCTATCAATCAATGTCAAATAAAGCTGGGCCTTAAGACTGGGGCCACACATCACACCATAGTCTACAATCACACATATGTCCATATGTGCATACATACGTACATGCACGTGATGGTCTTTTCCTCTTCATAGCTGAATACAAGGCCCCCCTCTTCCCAGCTCTGAGGCAATGAACTCTTGGTTATCCTGTAAGTTTCTTTTGTTGTTAGGAAAGCTTGTAGACTGCCCAGGGCAAGAAACACATAAGGATTCGCATTCTACGCTGGATTTCCTTCTGTGTTAAGAGCCCAGGGTTACAAGTCTGACTGCTATTGATTAGCTGTAATGTTGGCCAAGCCATTTGGTTCTTACTTTTCCAAGCCATTTGGTATGTAAAACAGAGAAAAATGGAAGTTGCCTCATAGCGTCATGGGGGAGTTTGATGAAATAGCCTTTGCAGAAAGACTGATGAGGGGCCTTCTTGCATGGGGACCTCCTCCTGTAAATGGTTGACGTGGCCTATGACATATCTCATGGACATAGCACCTGCCTGCCCCACATGAGACTACATTCAGTAAACCAGACAGGGTCTCAAAGGGGCCCCCATGGGCGTTCTGCTTTTAAAACACAGTAGCACCAATCCTTAGTGTCAGACAGGGAGCGCACAGACTGACGAGTGGCCTGGACCCTTGCGTGTTGCTTTCTGTGGATTGTACGGTTCTTCCCCCAGCCTGAGACATTTCTGTTTTTCATCTAACTTCTGATTTAATATGATGGAAACATGCTTAAGCCCAAGTTGTTTATTTATTTGTTGCCATGCTAGAGATTAAACCCATGGCCTTGCACGTGCAGGCAAGTGCTCTATCCGTGGGCTGTATCTCAAGTCCTTTATCTGTTTTTAGTTTAAGATAGGGATTCATTTAATTGCCCAGATAGCCTTGAACTCACTGTGTAGCCCAGGCTGGCCTTGAACTTCCTATCAGCCTGTTTCAAACTTTTGAGTTATACCTTCACCATCAGGCCTGCTTAACCCAAACTTTTAAAAACAAATCTTTTATTTATGTATTTACTTATTTATATGTATTGGTGCATATGTTTGTGTGTTATGCATGCATAACACATGCATGTGTGCATGTGTGTAAAGGTCAGAGGTTAATCGCATGTGTCTACTTCTGTCAACTCTCCACCTTAGTTTTTGAAACAGGGTCTCTCCCTAAACTTGGGGCTCATAGTTCCTGCTAGACTGGCTGGCCAGTGAGCCCCAATAGCCCACCTGTCTCCATCTTGCCTTTTCCTCTGCCAGGGCTGGGGTTACAGGTATGTATACCACACATGGCTTTTACATAGGTGCTGAGGCTCTGAACT